AATACTTGACAAATGAAGATATCAAAATTGAAGGGATGTGATTTCTCTAAGGAGTCGTACAGACGGAGGTCATCCTGGAGAGTTTCATCGGAATTATCTGTGAATTCTAGATCACAGCTTTAACAGATGCAGCTCTAAAAAAAATTTCTTTTTTTTAGTGGTGAGTAAAATCCAATCACCTGATGGTCACCACATCAGTTGAAAGTTTGATTTTCCATTCAATTATAACTCATTCTGACAGATGTTTTTTTTTCTTCTTCTCATGTTTTAAACGCCGATGTCGGTCATTATCAGGACGTGATGGAGATCCATGTCTCATCTTGTTAAATTTAACATGGAGGCCATGGTCTCCATCTGGTCCGTGACAGCATCTGTCTGCTGTGGAGGTTGTTCTGCCGGGGGTCTTTAGGGCTTTCTGTCTGAAAACAGCTGTGTCAGAGCCGTAAAAAAGATGTTGTAAGAGAAGGAGAGAGTGAAGCAAAGACACTGGTGGAGGGGCAGACAGCTACACAAACTTTAAACCTCTGGGGAGCAGCACACGTCAGGGGCATTTCACTTCACGTTACTGGGACCTTTTTGTGTCAAGTAGCATTTCACTTCACGTTACTGGGACCTTCGTCAAGCAGGATTTTTGTGTCAAGTGATTAAGAAAAAAATAAATATAAAAATTAAACATCAGTCCCAGACACTTTTAAGGATAGACAATGGAGATAATAATCTAATAATAATCAATAATTTAATAATATTTTCCAAAGGTGACTGGTCCTTTTAGAGCTCATTTAAATGTCACAGAAATGTCCAAATCCCAGAAAAAGAGCTTTTTCAACATACACAGAGACCAAGACAATCCAAACTGCTGCCCAACATAAATGCTTGACCTGCAGTCGCAAAACCAAAACTCCTTATTTTCTGTCTAACATATCCTGCTCTGAACTCTGAGATGATCATTTTTACATTTTTTTTTTCTAACCCTTCCCTGCCTAAATATTGGAACAGGAACATTTTAAACCTAAATCTCGAAGCTTAAAGCTCCATACGTTCCTGTCAGCAGCAGCAGCAGCGGCAGCAGCAGCAGCAGCAGCAGCAGCAGCAGCAGATCAGGTGACCTCATGTGTTATCATTAATGTTTTACTGCTGTGGTCATTAACAGGCCATAAAGCCACATATCTCTGTCCTCCTAAACTTTATGATGACTCTGATAAACCTGTTGATGGTAAGATCCTGGTATGGAGGCTACGATGGTACACACCACTGCACCAGTCGTGTCAACACCCGACAAACTGACCTGGTTCGACCCTCTCCAACGTCTACATTCAGCTGAGAAAATCAGAAAATAAAAAAAGACTTCAGTTTCACAACTGAAAGCTCAAAACAGAATTTATTTCGGGGGTATTTTTTTTATCTCACCAGGGAAACTCGTTAGTCTCTAATTTAATTTAGAGGCTTCAAAACGTCGCCTGCCATTTGCCAACTTCCTTACACAACACTTTATTTTAGTCAGAATTTAACAAGGTCCCATTCGCTCCTTCCTCCCCACCAGCGTCTTTGCTCATGTGCATTAAAATGAATGGCTGCCAGAAATAGTGCAGTGTGTGTGGGAAGGGAGGACAGAGACATAACAAAATCAGCCAGGACAGAAGCCAGCCACATATACGGGGCTTTGGGGAATACAGTGGGGAGGAAGGAGGCACACACTCACATTCTTGTCCAACCTGAAGTTGCTGGTGGCCTCATTACTCCTGGACCGAAGTGGAGCGAACACTCAAACGGCAGAATGTGCAGAGATGGAGGTCAGGGCGACAGGAGTCAAATGAAGTGGGTCATTAGTTTATTCATGGACAACAGACGGACGACTAATTCTCTGGAACCACAGTGAGACTCAGAGATTCTCAAATATCAATAGATGATTACGATAAGAGCCAGTGTTTACACAATTGTAGTCATGCTAAAAAATATGTCCAGTGTAAACAGAATTTTAAACATCATTATTCAACTACACAAATCAGAAAACCAGAGTCCAACATAAATCACAAGTCATTCAGTTTTAGACTCATTGGCGGCCAGTTTAGAAATCTAAAACTCTAACAACAATTCCATTCTGATACCATCAGCACAACGGTATATTTCTTTTCTCTGTGTGAAAAAGTGTGGCTTCTTCTTGATTTTTCACAGATCTTCCACAGTGAGATGACAATAACCAGTTCCTAGTTGAGAAAATCAAGTTTCCATCCACAGTAATACCTAATATTTATCTTAAAGCATGTTTAAAGAGTAACTTCCAAGTATTTCGTTCCCACTATGGCGTTCAACGACCTGATAAACTTAGCAAGGAATCTAACAGAGAGGCATGAAAATGTGATTGGTTGTCATGGGACATTCTGCGACTGTTGGCCACCTCTGACCCGGCCTGGCACTTGCCCTCCTCCCTGTCTTGTCTTTCCTCCCAGTAGGTGAGATCTTACGGATCACTGACAGTCCTGTTTCACTGACTAACATGATGAAGTGAGGACAGAAGGGACCAAGAAAAAACACGGACCCTGGGAACCTGAGCTTCAGCCCCTCATATGGACAAAAACATTGGTACTTTTATGACATGACCTAAACAAACCAGGTATACATATATGTATATATATATAAAGTATATACAGTATATATTTATATATATACTGTATATATATACATATATATATACATATATGTATATACATATATATGTATACATAGAGAGAGAGGGTTTTCTACAGAGTTAGCTTGTTAGCTTATGTTGTGTTAGCATTTAGGTTAGCTTCGAGGCCTAATCTTAGAAATTTGTCAGAGGGATTAAGTTGTTGAAATGGTGACTGTAAAATCTAAACACCATCCAACCCACAGACGTACAGTTGACACGGTGCTAAACTGGGACACTGAATAAACCACTGTGTTTACACGGCTCTGATTACACAGCTATAAGTCTCCATTAAACGTGGTGAATGAAACACATTCAGCCTTCTGTAATTATTATTAATGAGCTGGGTGTGTGTGTGTGTGTGTGTGTGTACACAGCCACTGTACAACATGAAGTAGTGCAGTAGTGAAGTGCATTCCCCTAAAGAGCTAATACTGCCACGATGCAGATTCCTCACATACTGGATTATAGGTATTTCAGTCTCACCATGACCCCTGACCCCATGACCCTCTTTGGCCTTTAGATTACACGGACGTAACCTGCAGGAGGCAGTGCAGTGGGAAGGACAAGTGCACGAGCAAACCCTCCGCTAAGACAGTATGAAACGTCTTCCAGTTCCGTTGTTAAAATCCTAATCGTTTGTTTTGGGTTTCTCTTTTGTGACTCATGGGAAATTTCTGAGGTGGTTTTGATCTGGGGAACTACAGTTTTATTTATTTTTGTAACATTTTCGTTTTCATTTAGCAACTCTTTGATAACCTAATGTGTTTAGAATTCCTTTGATTATTTGGTGGTTACTTTTAGCTCTGTTTACAAGCTCAAAGTAATGTTCACATGTCATTTTCTTTCTGTTTTTTTTCTTGGGAATAATATGTTATTCCATCGACTTTTGGTTCTTTTTTAGATTCAATGATATATTATTTATATATTATAATAATTTTGTCATTATTTATGCTAATTCATAGCTGTTTTAATTTTTTATATTCTGTACTTTGAGCCAAAATATCAGCAGTTTCAGCTTTCTTTTTGGCCAGACTTAAATCACGATTTTTAGTTTTTGTGTTTTTGTTTCTGTTTGGCTCATATTGTTAGACGGTGACTTAAATATCTTTTTTTTTTAGAAGCAGTTATAGAAATGTGATTGACAGGGGCCTAGGACAGGTTTTTGCATGTATAAAAAAACATCAGTCTGGTGTTTGGTAAAGAAAGTACAGAAGTATACATGTATAGAAACACAAAAGTTGAACCCTTACTGTTCATTCTAGATGCCAACACTGTAATCATCCCTTACAGAGGAAACTTCTTCATCCAGTGTTTAAGTCAGGAGGCCAAACTTTCCCTGTTTCATATCACAAACATTATAATTTGGGAAAACATGTTTTTAACACACATGTCTGACATGCTTTAAGTGGGGGTTAGGGACCTATAGAAGTCACATGATCAGACAAAAATGCAGTTGAATCATAGCTGGAATGCCTTTCTCTGAGGAACACATCTCTTTCTCACACACACACACTGTGTGTGTTATTAGATGCACAGAGTAATGGCTGTGACATACAGTACATAAGCCTACAGACATGCCTCATTGAACTTCTTAAGTAGCACACATGAAGCGTGCAGGGTTGTATTGAAGAGACTTGCATCAAACTGGGGTTCGTGTGATTTTCCCTGACAGCTGGGGTCAAATCCACCGTGCCCTCTGTATTCAATATGTCTCATTTAATCTACGCCATTTTCACTCATTCAAACCAGGAACACATGTATGAACTCTCACATACATACCTTAGATGACCCGCATTATTCTGATGCTAATGTTAACATTAATAACTTAACCCTGGCAGCACAAAAGGTTAAAATAAGAAAAAGATCACCTTAGAAAAAGTGTCAAATTAGTCAAATTAGCTAAGAGTATTACAGACTTATTGGAAATATAAAAAAAGAAATGATGAAATAAAACAATCTATAAGAAAAGGTCATTTTCTTATCATTTTTAAAGACAAATTGTGGGCCACATTAAGCCTTTCAACGTGCCAAGACTGGCCGTGGCCTGATGTTGGACACACCTGATTTAGAGCATGTCTTCTCTCTGTCAAATTCTATCAACTGCTCTTCAAACTGTAATCTCAACACTACAGTGAACCGTGACCTATGAATAGAAAGTTAGCACCGTAGCGCCGAATGGTGCTAACCCACACACTGCCCGTGTCAGCACACACACACACACACACACACACACACTCTTGGGACAGAGCAGGAAAAAAAAAAAGTCAAACATTGTTGACTTTATAAAGGAAGTTCTTTTTTCGCAGCCTGTCTCACAACAATCCAAAAATACCTGTGTTCAGCTGGGAGCAGGTCAGCGCACGTCTGTCTACAGCTGCGGTCTGGTCCACGGAGATAGGAGCTGCAGGTGAAGACGCTCTGATACACACACGCACACACACATGCAGGCAGGCACCTGAGTGGAACAGGAAACACATGGCGATATCCATCAACCCTTTTGTTCTGGGACATGGATGTTGCAGACAACGGCAGGGAAGACAAAGTGTTGATGCTGGAAATTATAGCAGGAAACAGCAGTCGGAGTTCGTCCACTCAGGCCGCAGGACAAAAGTTGTTCTAACAATAAGTTAGAATTTGCAGCTCTGTGAACTGTGACCCCGAGACTTCACGTGAAAAGCCGTGTTTTGCATCTTTAATCGTGGCAGCCGGTGAAGGAACAGACGACAGACATTATAATCTCCAACATTTGGCTCATGCGTTAGCTTTGCATAGATATGTTTGGCTAAATCTCCTCACTGGTCAACAACATTCCCCCGTTAAGTCGTGCGGTGCACGGGTATTTTGTGCACGCCATATCAGCGATGGAGCTAAATTTATAAAAGCTGCTCGTTAGCGACAGCTCACTTCCTTTTTCCTGCACGACAGGCAGGAAGAGTCATCCAGCTGCGCAGCTGCTGCAGTCATGGACGTCTGACTGAGACAGAACTGAGTGATGAAAGGTGTCGAGCTCTCATGTGTCTGCACAATCATTTCACTTATGTCGCCCTAAATCAGGGGTCGGCGACCCTTTTGTTCTCCGAGAGCTACTTTTCCTAAATAAAAATGACAGAGATCTGCCCGTTGTTGTGTAACATTTATTTCCGTAGCTCAAGTTGAACAAACAAA